AAGATCGAACCTGCTCTGTTTTTCAAGCTTCTGGATTCATACCTCGGCCGACCATATGGGATCCAGGCTCCCGTAACCACTAGGCTGTGGGGCCAGCTCAGGACTGACTTCTTTGTGAAACGGGAATCTAGGAGAGGTTCAGGTGAGATGGCGATATGATCCAACTACATTTTTAGGAAGAAATCTCTGAGGATGGAGAGGTTGTGAACCCTGGCACCAGCAGACCGGTTTCTGGCGAGTGCCCGGGCCATTCCTCCAGGGCCATCCAGAGACCACAGCTGGAGGACCGGGAGTGCAGCAGAAGCTGCAGGTCATGCAGGCTGGTGCAGAGTGCCTTAGGGAGCCGGGATGGCGAGTTACAGACTGCAGGCGACCAGCCAGAGCAGTTTTCAGAATCTTTTTTGAAGGGATCAGATACTCAGGGCCTCAGAGATCCAGGGCATCGGAGATTAAAAAACAAACATGAAGCTCTGCAGTCCTGCCTAGAGCCTGCTGGGCCAGAGGGTGTGGAGCCCGGCGGAGCGTGCAGCACACAGACCCTGCCTTACCCTGGAGGCGGTCTGGTCAGCGCGGTGGCCTGCTGACCTTTTGAAGGTAACGCGCGTGTGCTTGTGGCCATCGGGAGGTTGTGGTAGGAGTCCATTGGAGAAGTTAAGGCCTTTTTTTGTTAATTTTTTTTTAAGTTATCGTTGATGAACTTAATAGTGTATTTCAGAAGTACATCGTGGCCAGTAATGAGTAAGCAAGTGCTAGACAGGAAAGATGTAAATATTGATAGGCATCTGGCACAACAGCAAGCCTTGCAAGTCTCCTGCTTGGGTTTTATTCACCCTTTAAGATCTGCGCAAACAAACCTGAACAGACTGTGGACTCTAAGAATAACATTTTTCTATGGACATATATGGGCAGATAAACAAAACCCCAAAGGAGAAAAATACTCGTATTAAAATAAAAATAAAGATTCCCCCATGACTCTGTCCTCTTCTGCTCACTGGGGTTTCTTTATTTCACTTGGAGTTAAATGTAGTTTGGCTTCCAAGGAGATGCTGATTAAGAGTTGAATAAAATGGGGGCCAGTCGGTGACGTGGTGGTTAAGGCACTAGACTTCCACGTGGTCAACTACAGTTCGAGTCCCAGACCTGGTGGCTTGAAAATCACACCAGACGCGTGTGTGCATGCCCAAAATCCCAAGAGGAGAATGGAAAAGAAGGGATTGTGGGGTGGTCATTACCCCAGGAGTCGATTTCTCACTTTCCCTCTCTGTCTCTCTCCAGCAAGTGCATGCACTCTGTAGCAAAAACCTACAAGAAAAGAAAAAAAGAGTCGAACAAAAAGGATGTATTCGTGTCTGTCTGTCTGTCTGGCCTTGGATGCCTAGCCACAGCAGTAGATCTGAGTGCGTGCCTAGGGTGAAGGGTGCGGGGAACAGCGCCACCCCCCACCCACCGTGCAGGACCCTGGACTTTGCTCACTGGTCGCTGACAATGCCAGGCCCACAGCCTCGTCCCCTCCTGAGCTCTCCCTGGCTTTCAGGAACGGGGTGTGTGCACTGCAGGCTCCAGCTCTTGCGGTGGGGCTTGCTGTGGGCTTCTGTCCAAGCTGTGTCAGTACCCCAGCCAAAGGCGCTGGAGCCCATGAGGGCACCCATGGCTTCTCCGTGAGAAAGGCATGTGCGGTTTGCGTGTGATCGTCCTCACGTGTGACCTGGAGGACAGACAGGGGCGTGGATGGGGGTGACTGCCCCATGCCGGGTCCTTGGGAACTGTCCGTGCTCGGATCCTGGAGAGTTCCAAGATGCTGTGTGGGCTGGGTACAAGCCCTGCACTCTCCCTTTGCAGGGTCTGCAGTAAGGAGGTCCTGTCCAGGGCCAGCAGCTGGAGCAATGGTTAAGGCGCTGGGCTCCCACAGGGTTAACTGCGGTTCAGGTCCCGGACCTGGCGGCTTGAAAACCACTCCAAGGGCATGTGTGTGCATGCATAAGATCCCAGGAGGAGGATGGAAGAGAAAAGATTGCAATGTGGCCACCCCCCTGGGGGTGATTTCTCACTGTCTCTCTTGCTGTCTCTTTCTCTCTCTGATGAGCAAAAAGCTTAAAACAATTTTTTTTAATTAAAAAAAATTAGCAGGTTCTGTCCTCGAGAACCAGTTCCCAGGAATGTCCCTGGCTGGTGGAGCCTGCTGGCACGGTGCGCCTGTGTCAGGGCTGAGCTGCGTGTGACAAGGGGTGCAGTGCCTCGGCACAGTCCGGCAGCTTTTTCTGTTTATTCGTAGCTCGCCTCGACCGGGGGAAACCTGAACAGTTCCTCTCACAAACCTTTTATCTAAAAAAGCAGTTACTGGAGATGCAGCAGGGAGGGACTCAGTCATTTGAACGAAGGTCCTCGTTTGGCTGGGCTTCCCCGAAGGCTCTGTATCTGTCTGTCCAATGAGGCCTGGCCAGCCTGGGCTGCCTGGGGCGACAGGCAGCGTGGCATCCGGAGGTGGTGGAGAGCGGGCCGGCACGGTCGCTGCGTGTTCACGGAGGCCCTGTCTCCTCAGTACTCTGTACCGGCAAAATGAAGGCATCCAGGTGTACAGGGAGAGGCCAGCAGATGGCATGCAGTTAGGCCACTGGATTCCCCCACGGCCGACCACAGTTCGAGTCTTGGACACGGCGGCTGGAAAATCACATCAGGGTACATGTGCGTGCCTGTGCGTGTGGGCCAGAATCGCAAGAGGAGAAAGGACTGTGGTGTCGCTATCCCTCCCGACACGCGTGTGCATGTATGTGTGTGTGTGCGCACGTGTGTGTGTGATTTATCTCTCTCTGCTCAGAGAGCACATGCATCCTATGGCAAAACCTTAGTAAAAAATTTTTAAAATAAAAAATTTTAAGAAGGTAGCTAAGGGCAGCCTCGCATTGAGAAGAGACCAAAGGGTGACTCTTGAGAGATGCCGCCCTGGGGCTCCGGCATGCGGATGGGGAGGGCATGTCCGTGCTATGGGTACAACCCGCTGCCCCTGCACCGCAGGGGCTCCCGCAGGAACCCGGGCCGCCCACTGTCAGGCAGCAATTTCCGACTCCCACACACTCCCGGGGCATAGCCGGGTCCCAGGGAAGTCGGGCTGCGGGCTGGGAGCCTTCCCAGTGAACCCCACTTCTCTCTGTCCCACTCCCGGAAGCGGCCCCCCCAGAGGAGGCCTGGCTCTGGGTCCCCGCCCCGGGCACAGGACTCAGTGCCACCGCTGCCAAATAAGTACCTGCGAGTGCGAGGGGCCTTGAGCGCAGGCCAGTTTGTATCTCCAAAACATCTTTCGTAAACTTGAGCATTTTAGCTATTGCAGACTGATCCCGGGAAGCCAGGGAGTTCCTGTTGCGGGGAGTGCTCATCAGCATTTTTACAGGCTCTTAAAGTAGTCTCGGCTCTCTAACTGTTAAGACCAGCCACAATCGGTCCTGCCACTCGACTGTCAGCGCGCAGAGAATCTCCTAATACTTCCCAGAGAGGGGCTGGGAGAGATGCCGGAGCAGGACCAGGAGACCTGACTGCAGAGACCCTGTGGGGCCAGACCCGGGTGGACCGGGCATGAGAGCCGCCCTCCCAGACAGACGTGGGTGTCCTGTCACCTCAGGCTGAGCAGCTCTGAACGCTGGGACCCCTCCATTAGCTGGGGGACTTTGAGGAGGGAAGAGGGGTTTAGTGAGGTTGGTGAGGACTGAGCAGCGTCTTTGCCTTTTCATCCCATTCTCCTGCTCTGGGTGAATTATTATTATTATTATTTTTGGAGAGGTTTCTGCTATAGGGCGCATGCGCTCGCCAGAAAGACAGAGATAGAAAACGAGAAATCACCCCCTGGGGGGATGGCCACGCAGCAATCCCTTCTCCTGCATTCTCCTCTCTGGATCTTGGGCACGCACGCACATACGCCCAGCGTGAGTTTAAGCCACCGGGTCCGGGACTCAAACTGTAGTTGGCTACATGGGAGTCCAGTGACATAGCCATTTGGCTAGTAACTGCTGGTCCTTCTGGGTCAATTTTTAATAAGGCTTCTAAAAAGAACGATTTATATATCATTTTAAAAATGTATTAATTTCAGGTTTTTGCCATAGGGCACATGCCCTCGCTGGAGACAGAGAGAGGAAAAGTGCGAATCACCCCCTGGGGGGATGGCCACCTGCAATTCCTTGTCGCCCATTCTCCTGGGATGTCGGTCTGCAACCCAAACCTCAGTCCATCAGTGGGAGTCCGGCGCCTTCACCACCACGCCACCTGCTGGCCCCAGGAGAGCGGCTTTTCGGTCAGCTGGGACTGTCCCGTGGTAGGGTAAAGGGCGGGAGGCCGAGGAGCACCACAACAGCAGTGATTACAGCGGAGAGCCATCAAGGCGCTTTCCGAGGAGAGGTTTGGGAAACGGTCCGTTAGAACCGCTCGGAAACGGTCCGTGAGAACCTCTCTGGCAGGCTTATCTGCGGTTGGTTCCTTGCTCAAGGCCTCAGGCCCCCAGGGCCCCCAGTTGGAGGGGTCTGTCTGTCTTGGTAACAGAGTGTATCGCGTTAGCTTCCTACAGGCGTTCACCTCCGTAGAAGGTGGGGTTGAGGTGGCCAGCAGACGTGATTCACGAGCCTGTTCACTGTTACCCGGGGAGGGCCCGGAGTCCACCCTTACTGCTTCCTTTAGGGAAACCGTGCCCGCCAAAGAAGTATAAAGGCCACAGAAAACACGGTGCATGTTTGTATCTGCTGCTGGATGGAATACACGGAGTGTGACATTGTGCCTCTGTGCATCTAGCCCTCAGGTGTTAGGGTTTTCTGAAGGAGAACTGAAAATCAGGCCGGCACGGGTACGCGCATGCCCAAAATCCTAGGAGGAGAATGGGGGAAAAGGGATTGTGGCGTGGGCATCTCTCCAGGGGGCCGATTTCTCACTTTCCCTCTCACCGTCTCTCTCGTGAGCTTACGCATCCTGTGACAAAAACCTAAAACAGTAGGTCAACGGGAAAGTTATAACACATTTTTAAATGTATTTCCATGCAAAAATGTGTACAACTGTCCCAATGATCCAGTAAGATTAAATAATAATAATAATAATAATGATAAAGTCAGATGGGCAAAATGGAACCACAAGGCACTGGACTCGCCGCATACATGCAGCGCACCATGCTGAAAAGTGGTGGTGGTTAATCCGTGTTTCGGGGATTTCGTTTTGCTGTTTTGATTAGTCTGTTTTTGACCAAAGGTATTTTAGGCACTTAAGGAAAGGACCTGCAGAGCACTACTCAGCCTGGTGTCTTATTTGAAATGTCTGCTGACTGTCAACTCTCGGAGCTGAGCAGTCTAATCCTCGGTCGTTCCCGAATGCGTTAGGAATCGGTAATCATCCCCCGTTGCTGGGTGTTTGCATCCCTCACTGCCCAGCCAGGATGAGAGGATGAGCCGCCCCTCTGTGCTGCAAAGGCAGGGTGAGAGCTCAGCTCCATCGACGCCCCTTCAGTGGACACTCGGTGCAGGCGACGCCGATGAAGGCCCTGCGCGTGTGGAGAAGACACGTCCCTTGGTCATGCACATTTTGAAATGAGGATTCCGAGAGACTAATAAAAAGGGTGAACTTTCACATCTCCATCATGCGCGGCCCTGAGACGAGCAGCAGGAGTGTTGTGAATGTCTGCTCGGGGCTGAGGGCAGGGTCAGTGCGTATAAACAGGGGGGCGGGGAGCTGGCAAGGTCGGGCATGACCTCGTGCCCTCTGAAGCCTGGGAAGCCCGAGCGGAGGCTCCCGGCGGCAGCGCATGTGTGGACGCGGAGCGAAATCTCGCCTCTGCACACAGAGCGGGGTTAGAGGTTAATGAATGAGGGCTCGGCCGCACTCGGGCTCCCGTTGGATGGTGGTTTTATAAATAAGGGCTGAGATGGGGTCAGAATAGGACCTGCGTTTTGTTTCCAAACTCTCTAAGTCTTTTTGAAGTGGTGTTCAAAGAGGACATCCTTCCACCAGGGGAGGGAGCGGGGGCTCTTGTGCAGCCTGGGCTGGACGACTGCTCCTGGCTGGGTCGCCTAAAAGCAGGACCGAATGCAAAACAAAGGTGGGGGCGGTCCTTGCTCCCCTATTCTTCTCTAGTAATCCCTTAAAAAATAATTGCAGACCCAAACCTCTGGCCTCCAGCACATTTTCCACTTGATTAGAGGCCTTTGTGAGGTAGGAAAGGGACCTGCAGACTTGGACACTGTGCTGGGGCCTGAAATGCCCAGCTGGGATTTTTTTCCATCAAAAGGGGATTTTAGTAAAACCATTATCAGGGGCTTAAAGGAGAAAAGCTGTTGAGCTGCAAGTGAGGGGTAGATTAGCATTAGCGGGCTTGTTTTGGGCACCAGCGGAAGGGGAAGGGGGGAAGGTTCTGGCAGCCCTTGCACACAAGTTCCTTAGTTTCTCTGCAGGTTCCTGGCAGGTGCAGCCACAGGAGTGACCGCAGGAGCGGGGCCTAGAGTTGAGTGGGAGGGAGGGTCGTCAGGCACCGCCGGCTACCTGCTGGCTACCTGCTCGGTGGGGCACAGGGGCATGGGGTTCACCTCACTCCAGGTTAGGTGCATTGAGTCACTGGGAGCCCCCCACCTCTCGAGGCCCCCACAGCTGGCAGTGGAGCTGAGAAGTAGCCATGCTGGCTTCCTTGAAAGGGCAAATGGACACCTTTGTGGGGCAAGCAGAGGAAGGGCTGGGAGGCAGCAGCACTGGCCATCCGGCGCCCTGTACAGACGCAGGCCGAGTGTGTATGCAGACGGGCTATGCGAGCCCTCTGGGTGAGGTTTGGGAAAGTCACCTAACGTGGAAATGCCTGTTGTCTTGGGCTGACCACGCCCTCATGGCCTTGCAGTTTGAGTCCCAGACCCGGCAGCTTAAAAATCATGCTGCATACATATGTGTGCATGCCCAAAATCCCAAGAGGAGAATGGAGGAGAAGGGATTACAGTGTGGCCATCTCCCCTGAGGGGGCGATTTCTCGCTTCTCCTTTCTCTCTGTCTCTCTCCAATGACATACATGCCTTATAGCAAACTAAATAAAGAGAAAACAAACAAAAAACCACGGGGGGACAGGGGCAGCTCTGCGTGTGTGCTGTCTGCTGTGAATCCAGCTGGAGGGGCCCGCTGTGGGCCCGGGGTGTCTGCACTGCAGTGCTGCTGCTGTTGCCCGAGTGCAGCCCCAGGCCCGGCCGCTGGCCAGCCCGAGGCCACATTAGCAGGGATTTCTGTCTCTGGTCCAATTTAACCAACCACAGGAGACTCACTTACCTTCTCGAAACTGAAAGTTAGTCCAGGAAAGCTGTTCGCCAAGCTGCAAATCAAAGATCACCTTCGTCACCCTGAGGCCCCTTAGGAACTGCCTTTTCCGAGTTCTCACTTTCGAGCCCCCTCCTTCATTTCCCGTGGCGCATTTCCACCCGCTGGCCGCTCGGCTGCCGCGTCCTCTCCAGGACTTTGTGTGTTCTTCGCTCGCCACTTTCCTTCACTGGGTCGTTCTCCCTGGTCTCTGCTTGCTGGCTGTGGTCACTGCAGTGGCGGATTCCCGCTGTGGCTTCCACAGAGCGGCCCAGGGAGATGTCCAGGTCAGTGGTGCCAGGACAGGTGACCCGCTTCCGGCGAGGCCCTGCATTTTGGAAACTTGCCCTTTCTCTTTTTCTTTTTTAATCATCTATCCAAAAATGACCCTTGTGTCACCAAGCCAATAGGCCAGGACTCATCAGCTGATGCAGCATGGCTGACGTACCACTGGGCGTGGCCACCGTCCACCCTTCCACTGCACATCTGTGCCCGTGCCCTTCAAGCCCACGCTTTGTTCTCAGAGGCTGAGGACGCTGAGGCCCTCCTACCCGCAGCCTGCCGCGAACCATGGCGTGTTATGGAATCTGGCGCGTCAGCTCAGGTGTGGCGTGCTGTCTGCGCGTGTACTTTCTGCTGCCGTTACCCGATGTCTGTTCTCCACAGGGAAACTTAGGGGACGCAGCCAACCTTGCTGCTTTCTCGGGGCACTTGGCATTTTCAGTTTCATAGAATTCCTTCAGATTTCATGACGATAGCTTCATCTAAACAATAAAAACACTTTTTTTAGGATTTTTTTTTTTTTTTGCATAAGGCGTGTGTGCTCAGTGGAGAGAGGCAGAGACAGAGGGAGGGAAAGTGAGAAATCATCCCCCCAGAAGGGACGGCCACACCACAGTCCCTTTTCCTAAATTCTCCTCTTGAGATTCTGAGCACACATGTATACGTGCTGGCATGCTTTGCAAGCTGCCAGGTCTGGGACTCGAAGTCCCATGTTGGCCATGACATAAATGCATCATGACGTTTCTGACAACCCAAGGAGTCCAGTGCCTTAACCACCATGCCACCAGCCTGCCCCAAAGATACTTCTTTTAATAATTAAAAATAAAGATAGGCCTAAAAATTATAAAATATTTTTATTAATTTTCTATCACTGACAATATCTATTTTCCTTCTGTAATAACCAAAGCCAGACCATTTTCTCTGGCTGTTAAAACTGCTATCTCTGGGGACCAGCAGGTGGCGTCGTGGTTAAGGCTCTTGGACTCCCACATGGCTGGCTGCGGTTTGGGTCCCGGACCTGGCAGCTTCCTTTCTTCCTTTCCCTCTCCCTCTCTCTCTCTCTCACTCTGTCCCTCTCTGGTGAGATTTTAATTAATTAATTAATTAATTAATTTTTTAAAAACCTGCTCTATGGGTGCTGGCAGGTGGCGTGGTGCTGGGGCAGGACTCCCATGGGTGACCATGGTTAGAGTTCTGACCTTGGCAGCTTGTTTCCTCACTTGCCCTCTCTGTCTCTCTCTGGTGAGTGCACATGCCCTGTAGCAATTAAAAAAAAAAAACTAATGATAAATAAGATTAAATAAATACTTCTTTAAAAAATAAAACAAAAACTGCTATCTCCGTGTCTGCCTGTGAACTTTGACCACACTTGTTCTCCCGAACTTCCCAAATATGGCAGTCCGACAAAGATCTGGAGGAAATGGTCTTTGAGAAGAACTGGGCTTTTTGGTTTGCTCGGTTTTACAGGAGAATTAGCGGTCGACTCTGACTCACACAGCCAGGGAGCTGCTGGGTGAATCGGGGCACCCGGGGGGGAGGTCCTGAACCTTACCTTGCTCCAAAAACGCTGCTAGGACCAGCTTCATCGGTCTTCAAAATTCTGTGTCATCTTTTCTGGGAAATGAGATTCTTCTTTGTCAAGCCTTCTACCGGGGAAACTTCCAGGGGGGTGGCGGGAAGGTGGGGGTGACCAGAGCTCTGCAGCCCAGCAGTGGGAGCCAGCCTCCACCTGACGGGCAATGCTGCCGCCTGCTGACCAAACGCAGGCCGGCGGCTTCGGGGAGCCGTGTCCCCTCCGCCTCGCCACAGCGACAACCCAGACGGGCAGCTCTGCGCTCTTATTGTCCTGCTGCTGCTGCATGGCAAACTCGTTTCGTAAACTTGGGGTACAGAAAAACGCAAGGTCGGGCTCCCGGCCACCCCCACTCCCCGCCCGGGCGTGACTCGGAGCCCTCGATGATGGGCGCTGTTGGGGGGATGGAGGTCAGAGAACAGGCCGGAGGCTGGCTTTCTGCCCTGGCCCGCACAGCTGTGCCTACAGCAGCAGCATCGGGGCAGTTGCTGTGCCGAGCTTCCTGTCAAGTTTGCAGCTCCTCTCGTGAGTCCACTGAAAATTAAGACCCTTCTGTGTGGGGAGCAGGCAGGACAGCTGCCTTCCTGCAGCCCTGCTGTTCTGACTGTGGCCATTTGACTCCCAGCACAATGGCAGGGCATCTGTCTCCGGTACGCAGCCGCGGGCAGGGCTGGAGGCGCTGTCATCTGTCTGCTCCAGCCTCCCGGACCCTAAAGGCCTTCTCTGCCCCTAGCTGCCCTCCATGAGCCTGCTTGGTTCGGGTCACGAGCCCAGCCGCTCTGAGCGTCCACGGATCCCTGGCAGGCCGGCTGACTTTGTGCTCCTGCGATAAGCAGGGAAGCTGGCCTCATCTCTTCCTGTTAGAGTTGGCTTAACACACACTAGGTCTCGGAGAGGCAGACATACACCTTTTTGTGGTAGTTCACAGCAGTAGGATTTCTTTTAAAGAATTATTTTTATTTACTTATTTATTTTTTAAAAGATTCATGTAATTTTATTTATTACTATTATTTTTTGTCTATTTTTTTGAGAGATTTTCGCTATAGGGCGCGTGCGCTCGCCAGACAGACAGAGAGAGACATAGAGACAGAAAGCGAGAAATCACCCCCCAGGGGGGATGGTCACGCCGCAATCCCTTCTCCTCCATTCTCCTCTCGGGATCTTGGGCACGCACGCACACGCGCCTGGCGTGAGTTTTAAGCCACCGGGTCCGGGACGCGAACCGCGGTCGACTACGTGGGAGTCCAGCGACATAGCCATTACACTAACTACTGGTTCCCTTACCATTATTTTTTCAATTCGACGAGAGAGAGAGAAAGTGAGAAAGCAAACCACCAGGTCCGGGATTTGAACCACGTTGGCCAGGTTAAAGTCCAGTGCTCTTAACCACTATGCCACCTGCCAGCCCATATTCATCTTTTAAATGCTATAGGGCTTATACACTCACCAGAGAGAGAGAGAAAGAGAGAGAGAGAGAGAGAGGGAAAGTGAGTCCCACCAGGTCTGGGACTTGAACTAGGGTTGGCCATGTGGCATCGTAACCACCATGCCACTGTTGGCCCCTGCAGTGGGATTTTGAACAATCAAGTTAAGATTTAAAATATTGATAGTGTTGGACAGAGACGCGCGGAGCGGCGGCAGAGGCTGAAGAGCGGGGTCAGGGTCGGCGGACCAGGGAGCTAGGCGAGCAGCGGCGGTGGCCCGAGGGATCCTTAAGGAAGACTTCCATTTGGTAATTCATTTAATCAGTGCAAGTGAAATTAAGAAACAATGGACATAGAAAATGAACAGATACTGAATGTAAACCCCACAGATCCTGATCATTTAAGTGACTCTCTTTTTTCTGGTGATGAAGATAATGCTGGGACTGAGGAAATAAAGAATGAAATAAATGGAAATTGGATTTCAGCATCCTCCATTAATGAAGCTAGAATTAATGCCAAGGCAAAAAGACGACTACGGAAAAACTCATCCCGGGACTCTGGCAGAGGCGATTCTGTCAGTGATAATGGAAGTGAAGCCCTTAGAAGTGGAGGATCTGTACCAGCCAGGCCAAAGGGAAGGTTGGTGGAGTTTACATATTTTTAAAAAATGTGTTCATTCGAGACCAGCAATGGTGTAATGGTTATCTTGGTACTCCCACATAGTCAGCCCTGGTTTGAGTCCCAGACTTGGCAGCTTAAAACTCATTCCAGGTGTGTGTGTGTGTGTGTGTGTGTGTGTGTATGTGTACCCAATATATTGAGAGGAGAATGGAGAATTGCTGTGCGGCCATCCCTCTGGAGGTTGATTTCTTACTTTCTGTCTCTCTGGCTGGTGCATGCACCCTATAGCAAAAATCTCTCCTCCGCCAAAAAAAGTGTTCTATTTCGTGCATTGTTTCTAAAATACATTTTATATTTAGAGAGAAACACAAATCTTTAACAAATTATACTTTACAGTGCATTGTTCCTATATAAAATTGCATGATGTTGAAACAGTGAGATTTATTCTGTATTTTTTTAAAAAGGTAGAGAAGTATATGTAGAGGAATAGTTGGTGAAGGAATTCATTTATTTTGGGAAAAGATGTTTTTGAAATTGGAGCATTATTTTTTCATAATATGCATTTTCCACAGACCTTTTAAAGGTAGCTCATATAAACATTTGGCCTTAATATTGATTTATGACATAGTAATGGATTATGTTTTATAGCATATATAGGCTAACAGTCCTATGCATAATTTGTTTTAGGGTTATGAGAGAATTTATAATGAAATTCCAGACATTAACCTGGATGTACCACATTCATACTCTGTGCTTGAGCGATTTGTAGAAGAATGTTTTCAGGCTGGAATAATTTCCAAACAACTCAGAGATCTTTGTCCTTCAAGGGGTAGAAAGCGCTTTGTAAGTGAAGGAGACGGAGGTCGTCTTAAACCAGAAAGCTACTGAATATAAGAACTCTTGCAGCCTTAGATGTTATACAAAATAAGTATCTGATTGTAAGAGGTGTTAGCACAGGTTTTTTTCTTTTCTTTTCTTTTTTTTTTTTAACACTTGTTTTGGGTACAAAGCATTTCTGAAATTTTATAAGCTTACATTTAAGGGGAATTTTTAAAGAAGTTTTTTTCTTTCTTTTTAAAAAAAATTTTTTTTTGAGAAGAGGGTAAAGGAGGGACAAAAAGTAACCACTTCTTAAGTGGAGTATCCTAATAAGCTACCTTTTCTAAGTGCCGTGTTTATGACCTAATCATTCCAAGTTTGGCATTGATGTCTGACTGCCACTCCTTTCTTTCAAGGACAGTGTTTTTTGTAGTAAAATCACTGGTTTATACAAAGCTTTATTTAGGGGGTAACGTTAAGCTGCTAAAACCCCATGTTGGCTGCTGCTGTTGAAATACTGTGCTTTGGGAGTTAAAAAAAAAAGTTATTTCTTTGTCTTAAAGAATTTTTAAAAATGAGTTAGTCATGAGACTTAATTCATCTTTCCAGGGAACATATCGATTGGTCTTAAAGACTAGACAGTAAGTAAATGGTGGCTGGAACATCTATTTTTCTACAAAACTGGAAAAATGAACCTGGTTCTACAAGAATGTACAACAAAATAAAACATGTGAAGCAGAAAAAAATATATATATATTGATAGTGTTTAGGCATTCCACAGTACACTTGTTCTTCAAAACATAACAAATACATACAATTTTATGTCAATTTTAGAAGCAAATTTGAAAAAAATATATTGGCAGAAATTGGAGGCACAACTAGGTTGTATTCCATCTGAGAACATTAAGAATTTATTCAAGGGGGGACCAGCAGTTAGCATAATGGCTATGTCGCTGGACTCCCATGTAGTTGACTGCGGTTCGCGTCCTGGACCCGGTGGCTTAAAACTCATGCCGGACACGTGTGTGTGCGTGCGTGCCCAAGATCCCGAGAGGAGGACGGAGGAGAAGGGATTGCGGCCTGGCCATCCCCCCTGGGGGGTGATTTCTCGCTTTCTGTCTCTCTGTCTCTCTGTCTCTGTCTATCTGGCAAGTGCACATGCCCTATAGCGGAAACCTCTCCAAAAAAAAAAAAAAAAAAAACATTTATTCAAAGGAAAAAGGTGGCGTGGTGGTTAAGACACTGGACACTCCCACATGGCCGACCACGGTTTGAGTCCTGGACCTGGTGGCTTGCTTTCTCACTCACGCTCTCTCTAGTCAAATTAAAATGAATGAATTAAATAAATAATATCGTTTTACAAAAGAATCTGTTCAAGAGGCTTACCTAGTGTGACTTCCCCTTCACCCGTCCATCCAGTTTTAGCCTTGGCGATTTTTCTAAGGGATTCTAAGGGATATTAGGACTGATTTCTTGGCTCCTCCCTATTTAGAGAATGCTTCTCATAAAGCCTAGTTCTGGGGTAGAAAATGGAACATTTGTACTTAAATAAGGCCATTCTGGGGGCCAGCAGGTGGCATGGTGGTTAAGGCACGGGACTCTCAAACGGTCGACCACGGTATGAGCCCTGGATCTGGTGGCTTGCTTTCTCACTTTCTCTCTCCCTCTTTCTCTCTCTCTCTGGTCAAATTTTTAAAA